ACGCCGCCGGCTGGCACGGTGGGGCTGGGGACTCGCCCCCCAAGCACAGCGCCGACCCATCTCGCCCCACCCGTCCTTGGCTGCCTGATCGCCCTCTAACCTCCAGCCTCCCCGCAGAGGTCAGCAAAACCCCTGATTGTGTTTTCTGGTCCCCAACATTCAGTCAGCAATTGCTAAGAGCGCGGTGTGTGCTAAGTCCCTGTCGGAGGGTGTCTTGGAAGCAAGGGTCCCAGAGATGACGATGGAGATGGTGGAAAGACAGGGCCCAGGCCTCAAAGCCGGTCACTTCCACGCGTGGAGGGTGCAGTGCGTACCCGATGAAAAACAGCCTTGTGATAACGGAGCGGCTACAAAGCACGGCAAAGGACCTTCCCTGGGAGACCCCTCAGAGCCTAGCACACGCTCTTAGTTCGTTCCAGCACCTTCCCCACTTGTCTAAATATTTTTGTTGCAGCTATTTTCCTGTTGAAAAAATATATTTCTTCTGATTTCACTATCCATCCATTAAATGCATGGCTAGTATGGAGAACTAAGAAATTTCAAGGAACAGGTACATAAAAGAATAAAAATCCTTCCTAACCCCAACATAGGGAGCTAAGGAAAGATAAGATTATTTTAAAATATGGAATTTGCCTTTAGACAGACACAGACTGGAGCCTGGCACTTACTAGCAAATATAGGGGTGATTCAGGTGTAGGTGGCATCTATAAGCTGCTTAGCCCAAGGTGTCACATGCAAAAGTGTTCAGAAATGCTGACGACCAGCCGTGCTCCCAGGCCTCTGCCAGGCTGAGGCAGGAGGATCTCAAGTTGGAGCCTTGCTTGGGCAAGTTAGCAATTTAATGAGTCCCTGTCTCAGAAAGAAAAACAAACAACAGCAACGCAAAAGAAAACAAAATTTAAAAATGGATGGGGATGTAGCTCAGTGTGAAGGCCCCATCCCCTCAAAAAAAAAAAAAACTGCTGCTGAGGGTTATTATATTTATTTCTGTTATTTTGGCACATTTTCCTCCTTCTGCAACCCTACTTACCCCATTGCATATATGATTTTATATAATTTTTTTCCACTTAGAATTATACCATTAATATTTTTTCACATTAGTTTTTTCCCACAAAAATGTTACTTTAATACTTGTGTAATGATGCAGAGCTCTGCCATTGGCTGGGGATGTAGCTCAGTGGCACCGCACCTGCCTCACAAGTGCAAGGTCCTGGTACCAAAACACAAAACAAAACAAAACAAAACAAACAAACAAAAAAACACTTTGCCTTGAACAGATTCGTACCGATTTCTCTCTCTTGAATACCTTCTTTGGTTTTGTGGTCATCTTCAGCATCAGAACGATAGTTCATGGAAAGCAGCCCTGGTGTCTCCATCGGCCTGGGAGTTTCCCAGAGCAGGGGCTGTGTCGTCCCACCTTAGGGGCTGGTCACACTCTTAAGAGCCGGTGGACACCCTTCCTTGGCCACCCAGCACAGTCTTCCACACCTGAGAGCAGCCTCTTCCTGAGGTTCAGCTGGGAAGCCGGCCACACAGGGCACACAGGGTACATAGATCCTAGGGACAGGGCTGCAGGGTGCTCCAGTCCAGGCTGCCAGATCTCCTGGGGGATCCGAATTGTTGGTGGGTTGGTAAGAGCGGGGAAACCATGGTTGCAATATCCCAAGAAACAGTCCACTACCGGACCTCAGAGTCACCCGATTCCTGTGTCACTAAGACAGGTCCTTCAGCTCGGTGGCCCATCCAGGGTCCATCTACTTCCTTTTTCATGGATTCCTTGCCTGCTCTCGGCGCTGACTCTGGATGTTGGGTATCTGACCCCTGACGGCACCTTGCAGAGCTGGGACATCTGTGTCTACAGCCTGGGCTGAGAGCTCTTGTGCGTTTTACTCCGTTAAGTCTTACTCTGGCTGCTCTCTCTGAGTGGCCTGCTGAATTCTTTGGGGCAGGGACCAAGAGCTGGGAACAACTCCCCCGAGAACCCCCACGGACAACAGTTGCGAACGCTGAGTCCCTACAGGCGAGAGGGCTTGTTCCTCCGTCCCTCCGTCAGTGGTGTTTCTGCATCTCTGCGACCAGCGGCTCCCTGAGATTGTCGGGGTGCGGGAAGCAGGAGGCGACTCATGACTGAGGGCCCACTGCATGTCTTATTTAATCTCAGCCTTATGAAGTAGGAGCCATCACTGTCCAAAGGTAGACTAAGGAAACGAAGCTCCAGGAATTTAGAGTTTAAACAAGTTCCCCAAGGCCACGGAGCTGGAAAGCGCTGAATGTTGAAGCAAGGTTTGTGTGGATCAAAGCTGTGCCCCAGGCAGCCCAACCTGGGGCGGGCGGGCTGGGTCCCCAGGCGCTTGACCCATGGGCAAAAGCCTGTGTTTGCACACCTGGCACACTCGGGCAGCTGCGCCCTTCCCAGCCTCCAGCCCTGGTCTGTCTGGGCTCCCTGTCATCTGCCAGGACTGCGGACGGACGGGTGGCCTTGGGGCTGGAGGTGCGGGGAAAGCCGGGAGTCCCAGCGGGCGGGAAGGAAGGGGCACCTCCTGAGGGCTGCGCTACTGGGGACTGGGGGGGGGACAGGGCGGGGTGCACCGGAGGGAGAACATGGCAGAGGAAAGCAGCGCTTGGGGACCTCACGCCTTCCTCGCTCGGGTGGGGCCAGAGGCAGAGCCTGGACCAGGGGCCCCGCCCTACTCAGGGCACCAGGGCAGCTAGGACACTGGAGCCCCTTCCGAGGGCCGGCGGTGTTCCGGGCACACATACGGTCACATTACACAGATGCCTGTAGAATTAGGTGAACGTACACACCACACGTGTGTTAAGTCTACCCGCACGGGTCTTGAAATTATCGTTAAGGTTGACAGATGAGGAGATTGAGCCAAAATAGGTAATTTGTCCAGCAAATAACTGGTATCTCTGGGCGTCCAAAGTCCACACCTGTTTTTCTGTGCCGGGGATGGAGCCCAGGGCCTCGCGCACGGTGGGCAGACGCCCTTACTGAGCTGTGCCCAGCCCCGGGGGACCCCACGCTTAGCAGAAAGGCACGTGCTCACGTGGACACGGCGCGCACGTGCTCGGCTCCCAGGTGCGACCCGCGCCTTATCAGGGCCCCCCCAGACGGCCACAGCTGCGTCTCTGCTCACAGGAGGAGAGCGGGGTCACGTGTGGATAGGACCCCGTTAAAGGCCCCAGCACCCCAGGGATGTGTGTTCCGCCGCCTTATCTGCCCTCTGCCGCCCACGCCAGCTGAACCTCTCACCATGGAGAAGGTCCTTGTCCTGCTCCTAGCCCTTGCTGTGGCCCACGCTGCTCCTGGCCCCCGAGGATTCGTTATCAACCTGGTGAGGGGCCTCAGGGGAGGAGCTGTCCCAGTCCCCAGCTTATCCTGACCTCTGCTGTCCCCAGCCCGGGCTGCCAGGGCATCTCTTCGCTTCCAGCTCGACCCCACCTCTCGCTTTTTCCCGGGTCACCTCCTGACCTCGAGTTTGGGTGCATTCAGAGCAGTGTGGCACCCCAGGTGCAGCCCTGGACCGGGGCCCTGACCCCCGGGTCCTGGCGCTGGCTGTCTTACAAACGGCAGGGGGACCTTGGCCTTCCGGGTCTCTCTTCCCATCTCGAATATGAATAGGGTGCTCAGCTTCACAGTCCTTTGAGGAGCCTCTGGAAGTTGAGGACCATCTCCTTGCGGGGCTCCCTCTCCGTAGCCTTTCTCATAGAATCCCAGGGCGCCTGGGCCTCCTGCCTGGATCCCAGAGCCCACACTGCCTCGCACCCGCCTGACCCGGATCAAAACAGACCATGCCCTGCACACCGGCCACCAGGACAGGTGCTTCACTACTGGCTGGAACGGCGTGGAGGGTCCAGCACGCCCTGAGATTCCACGGGAAAGGATGTGGGGTGGGAGTCTTGCAGGGAGAGGGTCCTCAGCTTCCACAAAGGACCTGTCAAAGAATTGTTGGATGGGGCGTGAGCCTGTCATCCCAGCACTTGGGAAGGCTGAGGCAGGAGGGTTACAAGTTCAAGCCCAGACCGGACAACTCCAAGGTTTAGTGAGAACTTGTTTCAAAAGAAAAAATTTAAAAGGGCTAGGGATGTGGCTCAGTTTGGAGACCCCATTTTGGGGGTCTGCTTTGCATAGTCCAGATGGGAACACCGAGGCCTAGCGAGGCTGTGCCTGGCAGGGTCACCCCAGGAGTTGGTAGGACGCCAGTTCCAGGTCCCGGGGGTTGGGACTGAGCCCAGGGCCACTTGTCTCCCAGGCACTGCTCCGTCCTCATGGGGGTAGAGTGCAGAAGGCCTCCGGGAGCAGGGGTGGAACCCCTCGCCCACAGCTCCGCCAAGGGGGCAAGGGCTCTGGGTTGAGGAGGGGCTGGAGGCGGCCTGGGCTCACTGCTGTCCCTGCAGGAGGACGGGGAGCTCTGCCTGAACAGCATCCAGTGCAAGAGCAAGTGCTGCCAGCACGACAGCGCCCTGGGCCTGGCCCGCTGCATCCACAAAGCCAGCGAGAACAGCGGGTGCTCCCCCAAGGTGGGTGCTGGGGCCTGTAGACCGGGCCGGGCTCCCCCTGCACACTGAGTGTGGGGGGAACGGAGAGGGAGGTTGGGAGGCCTCGGAGCACTGTCCCACCCCCACCTCTCCGGCCCTCACACCGGATGGTAGGGCAGGAATCTCTTGTCCCCACTTCAGGGATGGGTAAGTAGAGGCTCCCAGAGAGACGGAGTTCACATGAGTGAGTCGGTCAGAGTGGAGGTCAGAGCCCAGGTTTCCCAGGTCCCTCTGCAGCGCCCTCTTTGCTGGTTCCTGGGCCGGGCAGGGGACAAATGAAGCCCGAAGCAGCCCTGCACAGGCTCTGACACCGCTGGCCCTGTCTCTGCAGACCATCTATGGGATTTACTACTTGTGTCCCTGTGAGCGGGGCCTGGTCTGTGAGGCGGACAAGTCAATCATTGGCACCATCACCAACACCAACCACGGCATCTGCCAGGATCCTGGCTCCAAGCAGTAAGACCACCACCCGCCCCTGCCCCTCTGCTGGCCGCCACCTCCACCAGTGCCTCTGTACCTAGCCAGGCTCTTGGCCACTAAAGCTGCTGCAAACCTTCGCCTCCTGCGTGCTCTTGCTGGGCAGCCTCTCCTGATGGTCACCGAGCCCTTCCCGCAGGAGAAGTGAGGGCAGGGTCTGCGCTGAGTAGACTGGAGACTGGAGATGGTGTTGTCATTTCCGGGAGCAGTCTCCCCTCCTGGGGATGTCCTCCTTGTCCCGAGTTCCCAGAGCGACAGGCAGGTACACAGCCCTCTGCAGGGGTGCTGGAGTGACTGCAGTCACTGTCCTGTTGCTCTGCACCAGAATTCACCATCCCCTGGGCTGCACTTCATCCCTCTTCTGGGCCTGGCTGTCAGGTGTGACAGCTCTGACACCGCCCATATGTTCAGGGCTCAGATCACTAGGGGCTGCTGTGCTGTTACTCCGTCCCAAAAGACCTCACCGTGGTCCTGGGAGGGAGAGTTTATCACCTCTACTTCATGGACAAAGAGCCGGAGTTTCAGAGAGGTTAAGGAACTTGCTTAGTGTCTCATATTAGAAAAAGGTAAACTGGTTGTAGTGACTGACACATGTCAATCCTAGTGCTGTGGGAGGCTGAAGCAGGAGGATTGCAAGTTTGAGCCCAGTGTGGGCAACTTAGCAAAACCCTGCCCCCCAAAAAAAGAAAAAAAAAATATATATGGCTGGAGATATAGCTCCGTGCAAAAGCCCTGCGTTCAATCCCCAGCACTCCCAAAATAAATGAGAGAGACAGGGTGAGAGAGAGAGAGAATGAAGGAAGGGAGGGAGGGAGGAAACCAAATCAACACCAAGCCAAACCCACCCTCTCCTCTTCCTAGTCTTTGCTGTTCTTTCTCGATATTCACGCCAAGGAAATGATGAAAATTGTAGATAACTTAATTCTTGCTCACATAAAAATCGTCTGCTCTCGGATCCATCATCACACACGAGGCACCTTGGGCAGCAGTGGGGTCCCCGTCACCAGGACGAGGGAGTGGAAGCTCACTGACCCCTGAGTGAGGATGCTGGAGAGGAGATTATTACGGGGAGCGGGGGAGGTTGTTTTAATCTCTCTCCTCCTTGCTGGGACGAAATACCCACCACCTGAAACTTAAAGCAGGAAGAGTTATTTTGGCTCGCACTCAGGTTTCAGCCTTGCGTGGCCGGCCCGGGGGTAGCCACACAGCCGCAGGGCCTGGTGGGGGAGAGCTGCCCCTCCTGCTTCCCACCACACCCCGGTGACCGCCCTCTTCCGGCCAGGCCCCATCTCCGGCCGTAAGCTACGAGCCCCCATCATGGAGTCACCATCCAAACACGCGCTGCTCTGGGGCCCATGTTAGATCTAAGCCACAACAACAGTGAACCAGATGAAATTTAGATGCAGCAGCCCCTGACCCGATGCCCTTATGCCATGTGCTGATGCAGGAAACACAACAGAGGGAGGGTGGGTGCAAGGGAGGTGAGGAGCAGAGAGACTCTCCTTGCTCCCTTCTTCTTATCTGTCCCAGAAGCTTCCGTGCAGACTTCCCTTCATATCATAATGGTCAGAGCCTGGTCACCTGACCACTTCTAGCTGCAAGGGAGGCAGGAACAGCAAAGGGAAAAGACTGGTGTGGCTGACTAATCATCTTCTCTCTCCTGGGCGCAGCGCCCCACAAGGGTGCTCTAGCTACAGCCACAGCTGTACCTTGACCCCTAAGCTCCTCACCTGGGGGGAAATCACTCTGGCTCAGTCCTGGGTTCGTATTTAACCAGAGGCGTAGCTGAAACAGTCATCTATCTCCAAAGTGGAGCTGAGCATCCCAGGGCTGCCCCTTCCCAGAGTTGCCTCTGGGAAGATGAACTTAGCACAAACAAGCAAGTCTGCATCCAACTCAGAACACCTCCCAACCCATGGCAAGACTTTGTGAGCCTCTTGAGACCTGAACATCCTGCCTCAGCCTCCCAGAGTGCTGGGGTTACAGGTGTGAAGATCACTCCCTTCCCTTAGCTCTTCTTCCTTCCCTCCTTTTCCTGTCTCCCAGAAGACTCACGTTTGGCACTTTCAAGCTGTGTGACTTTGCACAAGTGAATCAACCCCTCTTGGTTCTCCCATGGCTAAAAGAGATCTGCTGTTAGTTGGCCTTGCAAAGGATGGAGTGGTAGAAATCAGAGAGAGGTTAGGGCAGGAAGGGAGCTGAGGTCTCTTCTGGGGCTTTCATTCACATAAGTAAGAGACCCCAAGGCCAAGCGGTCCCTTCCTACTTCCTCCCTCATCCGGCTCCAACCCCCCTGCAATCCCCACCCAGCTCCGCAGCAGCAAACTGGGAGGCCCCTCATTTCAGTGGTGGCACAGTGTCCGCCCCTCTCCGCCTGGCCAGGCCCTGGGCTGGGGCAGGAACACACAGTCCTGGGCAGCAGCACAGTGGGTGGCAGAGGAGGCAGCAAGAAGAGGGAGCTTCGGAAGAATGTGTTCTTAGGTGGCCTCTTTTTCCCATCTCTCTGATCACAGCCATAGATGGCTTTAATTGATTTCTGAGTCTTTGGAAATACAAAAGTCAGGATCCACCCACAGGGCAGCCTTGGATAGGTAAGACTTTGATTTTGACCTTGGGCAGCCCCAGCCCGCACAAGGCAGCTCCTGGGGCCTCCCGAGCCAGAAGCCAGGGCCCCTCGCCCAGCGCTCAGGCACACAGCTCTGGAGCTGCCCAGCGCACAGCTAGCTGCTCCTGCCTGTCATGACCAGGGCACCACGCGGGGCTCTTCCAGGGGGCTGCCTGGGCTGCTCCTGTCCAGAAGCACGACCAGCTTCGGGCAGGTCCCATGCTAGTTGGGGGCTTGCTGAGCCAATGTCTGGGGAAAGGACTGGAGGCCTGGGCATGGCCTCCCAGCTCAGGTGGGTCCCCAGGATCCGCCAGACTTGGAGGTCCAGTCCCTTTGGAGAATTCTGGCCCGGTTCCTTCTTCTCCTGGGCGCGCCCTGCCTCCAGCTGCTGACAGCCACCTGCATGTGACTCTTGCTGCCTCAGACCCCTTAGGAGCCCAGTGTGATCCGCAGGTCTCGGGCGCCCCAGCCAGCACCCGTCCTTGTCCCTCTTGCTGTGGTGGCAAATCTCCAGGTTGTCCAGTTGGAGCCCAAGAGCCTGAGACCCGCTTCAGGGAGTGACTGCCGCCCCTGCCCCTGCCCAAGTCCACCGGCCCCTCCGTGTCCAGCTGGGGGCCTGGGGACATCTGTGTAGTGAGAGTTTGCAGAGCCTCCCCTCAGTGTCCCCAAAGCAGGTTGTGTCTCACACTCCAGTCACCCAGACCTGTCTGTTGCTGCTAGTGCCCCTCTCTGCCACCACCGCCACCTCCCCCTACAAACAGCTGCTTAGCCCGCTTGACGGTCACCACTCCCCCCACCGTCCCCCCACCGTCCCTGGGGCGGGGCTTGGAACATGGATAGCATCGCCATCATCACCAGGCACCATCATTGTTGGACAATTTCAGAAGCCTTTCAAAAGCAAAGATTGCCGGGCATGGGGTACACACCTGTAATTCCAGTACTCTGGGAGGCTGAGGCAGGAGGATTGCAAGTTTGACCACAGCCTGGGCAAATTACTCATAGTGATTTACTGAGACACTGTCTCAAAATAAAAACGTAAAAAGGGCTAGGTAGGTAGCTCAGTGTGAAGGTCCTGTTTTCAATCCCCAGTACCAACACTACCATCACCAAAAAAACCCAAAGCAATTTTTGAGCGCCTTCGCCAGGCACCCTCCCCAGCCCATGCCTCCCACGCCACCCTCCATCCCAAGAGCTGCCCTTTCCTGGACCCAGCCCAGCCCTTCCCACCCTCCCTGCCCTAGTCCCACCCTGCACTTCTCCACCACCACCAGTGGGAAAGCAGACAGAGGCCGGAGCCAGGAAGGGACTTTTACTGCTTCATGAGTCAGACCTGGAGCACAGTGGGGGCCCCGGGGAGGCAGAGGGGCCGCGGGACCAGCCTGCATCCTCCGCTAAATCCAGTGGCACCGGCGGGGACACATGAGGTCCCTGGATATGCAGGTCAAGCCCAGCCGGCAGGGGCACATGATGTTCAGGGCTCCCTTGGTCTGCGGGGGACAGGTGTGAGAGTTGCTGTCACTGAGGACAGGAAGGGGGGCCTCAGACTTCTCGGGGAGCCGGATGCAAAGCAAAAGTGCTGAGTGACACAGAGTCCGAGGCCCTGCGGCTTAAAAGTGCACAGGCGGGGGCCTGTTCCGAGCTCTGGGACTCAGTTTCCCCATCTATCAAACATGGCGGTGACAGTAGCCCATCTCGTGGGCTGGGGCTCCTAAAACAGAGACCCTGTGAAGCTTCACCCCAGCTGGGCAGTCAGGATCCGGCTGGCCCCTCCGAGCGCAGACACATCCCCAGTCAGGGACACGCAGGCTGAGCCACCCTGCCCTGGAAAGTGTGGGCCCAGGGCCAGATGGGCAGGAACAGCACATGCTGTGCCTCATTTCTTCAGTGGCAACAGCCGTGCTTGCTTGCGGAGACCACGGACTCTTCCCAGCACCCCGGTGGGGAAGGGACACAAGCTCCACTTGACAGATGAGGAAACTGAGGCTTAGAGAGGGAAGGAAACCTGTCTGAGGTCTCAAAGACAGCCAGCATGTCTTTGTGAGAAGCCAGGATTTAAACTCCAGTCCAACTCAAAGCTGTGACCCTAGGCCTCTCGACAAACTAGGTCGTCATGGCAGAGAGATGTTGGTTGGTAGCGGAAGCTCTTTTTCTGCCTGCCTTGCCTCAGTGATGTGAGGGTAGAGATTTCATTCATTTCTGCATTCATTCAACAGACATTTGTTGAGCACTTACTATGTGAAGGCTTCTCAGAGGATCTGGCTTGTGGGGTATTGCAGGACCAGTAGGAGTTTGCCAAGAGGAGAAGGGGGAAGGGTGTTCCAGGCAGAGGGTGCAAAAGTGGGTGTCATGGTGGTTTTTGTTCCCTCCCGACCTCTTCCCACTTGGCAAAGGAGTGGCCCACCCCAACCTCACCTGGGGCAAGCATGGCATGGACTTTGCAGCCTTAGAGGCTCAGAAAGCTCCCCCAA